CAAAACTTCTTCGCGAATTACCACTTCGCGTCAAAGCTGCTATAGAGAAACTCCAACACGTTACTTCTTCTGCTAAAACTTAAATGGCGAACACATCTTTGCGACAAAGCTTACGCGTGCGAAGCACGAGCAGTGTGCCATCACACATCTGCTGCGGAAAAACCAATATACCAGCCTAACTTGACATGACCTGGCCTGACCTGATAAAACCAAACCAAACATATCCTGACATGACTTAATCAACCGTCGGTGTGGAATTCCCGCCCCGCCGTTCTTTATAGTGGCCGAAGTCTGGCGCTCAATGCTTTTTTCTTTGTCAGAAGGGGGTTCGACCTTGCAGGGGCCCCAACAGATGCATTAGCGCGTCTTCTTGTGCGCAGCAAGTGTAGAATGTCATAATGTCATTCCGATCTTTCTGCACCCGCTTTTAGGGGCACCCTAGCACCACGCTTTGGAGGGCTGAAATGGGCCTTCGATACATTCGTGCGTCTGCTGTCACGTTTTCCTTCTACCCGAGCACACACTGGCCAAGTTTGTGAAAACCATCGCCTGCAGACATGAACTCGTGTGCGCCCTGGTCCAAGAAGAAGCTCGATGCCACCACGATAGAAACATAAAAATGGGACGGCTGATAATGATTTTCAATGCGCAGTAATGCAATGCAGCGGACTGGCCTCAGATAGCGGATTGGCGTCGCCTGCCTCTCACCCTGGCAGAAAGGCCGGGCACCGCGGCAATAGCAACTAACATTGTTATATGCAAATGTTTGTGTTTTTGTTGCGATGCGTCATTACTGCCAAACCGGGGTGAGCTTCGACTATGCAGCTTTGATGCATGGCAGTCGTGTGGGGTAGAAGCTTTATCTGCAGCGGTTAAGTCGCGTACAAATTTTGTCTGTACAACTTCGGTAGTGTATAAACTTTGACCGCAGCAATTTTGCTCGTGGATATATCATGTGACAGTTTTACAACGAGCGTTTTTGTTTTGCAGAAGAAGGCAATAATGTGTAGCGTTAGGCTACACGGCTTTGCGCTGTAGTTCATTTGTTTGTAAAAGTTGCATTGCTTGAACGTATTCACACTTAGATTCCTGTTTGCAGAAGTACTATCCCGTGTAAGTTATCTGCGTGAGTTTTGTTGCGCATGATGACGTCGCGCAAGCGCTATGTCCGGATTACTTGTGTAATGCCGCGTATTGTCCACAAAATTGTTGGGCGTGGAAATTATACCGAGCAAAAGTGGTGTCGTACCAGATTTGTCGCTGTCATTTTCTGCAGAAGTCGTGTCGCGACAACGTACCAGTAATGTACGCCAAAGTTATGCGAATGCTAATGGTATCAATCTCGTGACCACCCAGATGACACGGCCAACAAAATAAACAAAACGCAGCTCATCGATTCTGTTGTGGGTCCCAAAGTAAGCAGAGTTGTTACCAGCTGTTCTGACCCGGTCAGCATCACAGACAGCGGACATAGTTGTCCCGCTAACGGAACGGTTCCCCTCATAAGCTATAAGACAGCGATATTGCTTCTGGCGACACACAATCCGGGCTCGTCTAACTCATGCCCGTCAAGCCGCAACATTCCAGAGGCACGTCAGCCCAGGTGACGGGGAGACGGGACACAATACAGCGCGAGAGCGACCACCGACCAGTATCTGAGCGCCGGCCGAGTCCACAAGCTGAGAGAGAGTCTCGACACGCTGCTGCAGGGCGTCCAGCCGAGTCTGCGCCCCGTCCCGCGCCTGCACCAGCTCGGACCCCTGCGGCGGACCCGGCCCCCCGGTCAGGTCGGCACCCCACGGCCGCCCCTCGGCCGGACAGGTCAGGTCAGATCAGGTCAGGTCAGGTCAGGTCAGGACCGGTCACGACACGCACCGCATTCACGCCGTTCCCGGCCACACCGGACGGACGCCCACCTCCAACATGGGACAATGCTGTGGAAAGCACCAAGTCCGTTATGCGCAATATCAGCCGCACGTGCATCGTGGACCAGAACGCTGACATACGTTTCACTCGCTCTCCCAGAGTCACCGCTACACCTGCTGCAGCGGCCAGTCGCCTCCTCACCCCGATCGGGTCGTTGAACTCGTCGTCGTCGTCCGTGTCCGAGGTGGCCGCGCCGACCCAGCGCTCCACCTCCGGCGCGTGGCCGCCGTTGACGTCCGGCGCCGGCAAACCGTTGGCAGCCGGCGGTGTCGCGTGACCGTTGGTCGCGGCCGGTTCGTCGGCCACGTGACCGTTGGTAGTCGGCGCCGCGTCGGAGGAGAACCGGACGTGCTTTTTTTTAGCAGGCCGGTCGGCCTTTCCATCGTCGACGTACTCGTACACGGGGCCCAGCGTGTCCATCAGACTGGCCACGTCTTCCGTCAGCGACATGGTCTCCATCACCTGCGGCATGTCCCACGGCCGGTGGTGAGACGGCTCATTCACATCGTTTTCAACCGTGGTCTCAGTGGCCTGTGATGGTGACAGTGACAGTGACGTCACCAGAGACGTCAGTGAAGCATGTCATCGCTCTGCCACCGTTCGGATGAATCGAAGACATCGGTTTGGCACGGGACTGGTGGCGTGGTTGTCGCTGCCCTCAGCTTCAGGCGTGGGTTCCATCGTTGGCGGGTACGTGATTATCACTGCCATCAGTTCCAGGTATGGTCTCTATCACTTGCACACAGGGATAAGTCACCACAGTGAATTCGGAATGGTGAATGGGCGCCATCGATGCATGTAGCCACGTCTCTGAGGCTGTGTGTGTGGAGGGGGGGGGGGGGGGGGGGAGAAAACAGGCAGGATTGTGGCAGTTAACCTGCAAGATGAGGTAGATCACCTGGCCTAAAAATGGTAACTTGAAGGCAAAAACGTGAGAAGCGTACGTGGCACTGACCAACTTGGAGGAGAAAGAACCCCATTTTGTGAAAATGGGTCACTGTCCCCTTCTAGCCATCCCACCTCCTGTCGTTTCACACATGACGCTCGCTTCTAAAACGGACGGGGGAGGCCGGGCGGCTACCATCGTTATCAATCTCAGGCACGGCACCTATTACCTACGGACGTGGATAAGTCCTCAAGGTATCAGTGATCGGACCACTCATAAGTTACGAGCTCCGAAAGGCAGCAGGTAACTACTCACGGGCATAGACCACACCATCTGGCAATGCCAGTGTTCCGGGCCACGAACGATGTCTCCAACACCGTCCAGATGTGACTGTCGCAACCAGCGCATCAGTCAATGGCGGCAGCCGTATCAAACGGAGATAGCCGAGGTGCTCGGTACGCAATCAACGATCGACTGCATCAAACCATCAGGGCCGAAGCAGCACTGCTCAAAGGTCCGTTCGAAGCCGGCGAGCAGCCGTTTGAAACCGCGGCCGCACCGCGGCAACCGCCGGTCAGAGCGACGCCAAATCAACACGCTCCGACAGAGAAATGAGCAGGGAATCGCCTGATGTCGCGTGTGACGCCGCACACGTCACCTGCCACGTGCACAGCAGCAGTGAAGACAGCTTTTCCCATGTTTGATCGTTTTCACGTTTTAGACCACATCTCAGCAGCCAGAGCCGGTGGAAGCGTGAATCCGACTTCAAAGCGTTGACTCATGTACCGCCCGCAATTCATGTAGCCAACATAAGACCGAGCGACATAGCGTTGTGCAAACCGGGTATGTCGGGATTCGGCAAAACGGGTTAAAATGCAACACGCTGTCGTCGAAACCATCGCCAGGATCGCGTTGAGATTTACACCACCGCGTGCACGGATTCATTGATGGTAATTACCACCCATTTGTAATTATTATTTACACCTGACCGTTCAAACATCATGTTTGTCCAAAGGACTATAATCTCGCTTCTTCACGACGTCGAAATGTCACCAATCGATCGCGCTATCGCCCCTGCCGAGAACTTCAAATAAAACGTGAGAAAGCGCACGCGCCGTGACAGATTGCAATCGCCGTTTTTTTATTCATCTTCATTCCATTCCTCGCTTGCAGGCAGGAGAGTTGAGCCACGGTGAACACAGCATCCATCATCCCAGCGCATCCGGACACCAGTCACTGGGCAGACGTATGTGCGTTGGCCATAAATGAAACCAAGGTGACATGATCCCAATTCAATTTGTCTGTGCCTCTTGCCACGACGACACTAGAACGCATCGACTTCCGGACTTTTGCGCGAAACAAAATGTAAGGAAAAGAGCACAGATTATGCAAGGAAGACTGCGTGTCAAAGGGTGCGACGACGGAGTTCAAGAAAATGCGGCCATTTGTAGAAGAGAACGTAGAGAACGTCGCAGGAGATATAAGGGGGAGTTACCCTACATATGGAAGATGCTGCAGGACAAGAAACAAAGGAGGGCCCATCCCACGAAGTGAGGACAGACAGGAAGAAAACCGGCAATAGGGGCCACCTCGCAAAACGAGGACAGCGAGGAGGACCCGTGTTGCAGATGGAGAACGGTACAACGGGAGGATCTGGAATAGGAGCTGCCCAGCAGATGGAGGGCGGCACAGAGAGAGGGACGGGAGGAGAAGCTACACCGTGGGTAGAGGACGGTTCAGGAGGAAGAGCAGGGTGTGTTCCCGAGAAAAAGGACCGTCAAGCGCAACTTGTAAACAACTTGTTTAAGCTCCCCCACGTGACGTTTGGTAGGTAGCTTATTCGGTCTATTTGTTAGCTGTTACTGGATTTTAGACATGATTAGATAAATCGGTTACAGCAAAGGAACTGAACTTTCAGATTAGTTGAAGCCACATGTAGCTCTTTACCAAAAATTATAGGCAATTGTCCTTCGACGTGTTCCATCTTGAGAGGTTTCAATTGTGATAATGTAGCCAACTATAGAATATGCTAATGATACTAGGCAGTAGCCATGATTTGTTGTCAAGGTTACAAACACCGGTTTGTTCGCGTTGAGTGAGCTACGGAGGCGACTTTGTACTTAATTTGTCGGATGAAGCTTAATTTTATGTAACAAATAAGGTGATTTTACACCAAAATATTACGTTTTTTACATCAAATGCTGTTGTGATTGCGCTCACTGTTGGGTTTTTACCATCCGGGCTAATACCTAAGAACATTTCATCTCTTAAACCAGCTGTTGTCCAGCTGTCGGGTTCGAAGTACGCGGGTACGCTGTTTCCGAGAGGGTTATTATATATATGTATATATAATATATATATATATATACATATATATATATATATATATATATATATATATATATATATATATATATATATATATATATAGAGGGTTACAAAAGTGAGTGGAGGGTCGGTGATGCCGGGTATGTGTGTGGAGCTTGCATTCCAGCCTGAATCATAATTCCGTGCGGCATGTCTAGGGTACGAAGTGGTTGCTTAACAGGTGTAAGAAAGAGCCAGGTAAACTATGGGGTTTCCCCGGGACTCCATACAAGGTCTCAATAGCAAATCCTAGAAAACTGCAACACCTGTGTTAAGCTGAGGTTCCGGAAATTTCCTCCTAATTTCGACAGAAACTTCGCCTTTGAACACCACCAAACTGCTATCTGAGCCCCAAGAAAGGTGCATACTACACAGCCAGCCACCATCCTCTGTTTATGTGACCGACAGTCTGACAGGAATATCAGCACAACAGGCAATTAATTCAGGTAAGCAAGGCCCTGATTAATCCAAAATTATCTTTAAATTATGTGCATCACGATCACCTGCAATCACGTTGCAAACCAACTCATACCTAACAACGCAGACAAACATCACTCCTCTTGTTTTATAACCGCTGCTTTCGACAGCTTACGCAACGAGGTACCGCAAGATACACGCAAAGTTTTCTCCGCGCATCCGTTGTCGATCGCGATATTGGAGCTACCTTTCCACTTTCGTCAGAGATCGATTGGAAACGTGACCCACCTAGGTAGCTTACGATCCGGCCACTATCGGGCAACGGTGGCCAGCGCAGATGCGCATGGGCAGAAGAAGGCCCAGGCTGGCTGGGAGAGTGGAATTAAGGGGAGTTTTAGGCAATGAATTTTGCGAAATATCTACAAGGGAAGAACATTTCAGCATTTTAGTTGAACACTAAGGAAAACATTTTAGGAAACGGATTTTATCACATTCCTACACTTGTCAGTAAGGCGAACCTGGAAACGCCCATGAAAGTCACCGAGGTAGCTTGCACGAGTGTGAGTGCACGAGTGAGTTGTGAGCAGGACTAATGAGCAAGGGTAGGGCTAAGAAGCGAAGCCGCCTCACAGATGGAGGACGCTGCAGGACAAGGAGCAGGAGGAGGGCGCATCCTACCGAGGGAGTACGGTGTATAAATAGAACCCTTGGGAGGGGCCGCTCCGCAGATGGGGGACGGCGAAGGAAGAGGGACAGTAGGAAGAGCCGTCTCGCACCTTGAGGACGGTGCAGGAAGAGGGACCTGCGGTTGAAGGACGGCTCAGGAGGAGCGGGAGGGGGATCCGTATCGGAGATGGAGGACGGTGCAAGACCAAGATCTGGAGTAGGGACAGCCCAGCAGATGGAGGGCGGTGCAGGAAGAGGGACGGGGAAGAAGCTGCACCGCAGATGGTGAACGCTTCAGGAGGAAGGGCAGGAGTCGCACGAGTAGAGCACCATGGAACAAACATTTTGCTGATGTGGAAATGTAAAAAAAAAAACGTCGGAACAACGCAAATGAATCATAATATTAATCCCAGCAAAGCGGCTAGCGGCCGGCCTGCTCGGCCGGCAGTGGGCGGGGAAGGTTATTCTGTCCGAGAAAGCCAACGCACCCAGTCCGCATAGTGCCAACGCTGAAAGAGCACAAGTCATCGATCCGCTACCGCGTGGATGGAATGGTCACAGGCGGCATGACCCACGCTCAGGTCGCCAGGGACTTGGGCGTCAACGTAGCGACGATTGGGCGCTGGCTGGCCCGCGACCGGTCACGCGAGACGCTCGAGAACCGCACGGGTCGTGGGCGGAAGTCGGCTCTGAGCCGAGTGGCAAAAAAGGTCATTGCAAGGTCGACCTTCAAAAGGCACCACTCACAAGGCGCCAAAAGGCGCCACTCGACGAGAACCCTGGCGAGAAAACTGATGGCGAAGAAGCAACCAGCCTTCAAGTTGGCCGTTCACCGGTATGTGAAGACCAGCCTGCAACTGAAGCCGTTCAATCTCACGTTGCAGTCAAGGCTTACCGTGGACCACAAGCGCAGGCGGCTGGAATTCACCAAGGCCCGCAACAATTGGTCCGCTCCAGACTGAAGACGGGTCTTGCTCAGTGACGGATCGCCCTTCGAGCTCTTCCAAGCCCCTAACCGCCAAAACGACCGAGACTTGGCCAACAACAGCTCGGAGGTGTCGATCGCCGAGAGAGTGGAGCAGCCGCTAAATATTCTTGTCTGGAGCATGATGAGCTACAGAGGCCT